GAGGAGTCAAACCTGGTGAATACATGGTTTGGCAAGTTCAACATGGAATCACTTAAGGTCCGTAAATAAAACTCTACTTTCATGCGGAATTTTTTTAAAAAAAGTAGAGCTTTTGAAAATATATAGCAAACTACAGAGATTTGGGTTCGATAAAAAATCTATTTACCAAACTAAAACGTAAGCTAATTGTTTTTTAACAAATAGTTTAAAACATATTTCATTTAGAAACTTAAATTGAAAAATAGTTTCTTGTTTTATTTTTTAATTATATAATAAATTCATATCGTCATATCAGCATGAGCTCAAAAAAACTTGGACGACCTGTGAAAGTTTTAAATAAAACTTGTATTAATAGTGGAAGATTTGCTGGAAAAGCCTCTGATTTACGTGTAAGCGATCTACCAACTTACTAACAGGTCATTCAATACGGTTACAAGGTTGAGAAAGAATTATTTAATGGACAGAAAATTGACACTGTATCAATCGTGACCAAAGTCAATAGTAACTTGCAACAGCTTTGGTGTAGGGTCAATCCAAATCTACCTCTGATAAAAGATAAACCATTGAAAAATAAAATATCGAGAACATTTCTAAAAGTGTTGTCTGCAGAACGAATTCAATCTAAAAACCATAAGTCTAGTATAAGCTGGCTAGAAAAGAAACTGGAAATGTTGTCTGATGTGTTTGCTTGACGGTGCAATCTTCCAATTATTGATGATTGTAATGATAGGTAAACAAATATCTTTTAAGGTTTTTTATTACAACTTTTTTTTAATGTTTTGAGAAAAATATTTTGTAAAGGTAGATGAAAATTTACTACCTCATCTCTCTGGCTTCTACTAAGGTATTAAAGTAAGGCCTACAATCGTAAACTAACGGATGTAAGCCTATGCAATAAATGGTTTCTATATTGTTTTGATTTTATAGTAAAATAATATACTTTTAGACGAATTAAATGTCGGAAAAGTAATTTCACAATGAAACACATAGTTTGTCTCTGTGAAGAAACTAGAAAGGTAATTCATGCCATTTTTGTATTAATATTAATAGGCATTTAATACAGTTAAAATTCATAAATATGTAAGGTTAGAGAAAATAAAATAGCCTTAAGCCATTTTAGATATTGCTGCTCTTTTATGAAGTTATGTTAAAATGGTTATTTATCACTAATCATTTGACCATTAATTCATTCTATTCACTTTAAATTTAAATACTTTTAAATTTAGAATATTTGACTTATTTTAGGTCCCTGTTCTGGAAAGAGAATATTTAAAGGACCAAAGATGCAAGATAGGACCAAAAGGAAGTTGGCAGTTAGGCAATGTGGACCAAGCGGAGGCAACAAGGAACGCCAAAAAGTATATTAGAAAGGAAAATGAGGCCACTAGAATGCTAATTAGACAAAAAAAATTTCAAAAAACATCAGAAGTCCATTCGAATAGTAGTTTTAGTGCTGATTCTTCAAGTTTAGATACAACTGAAAGTGAAGAGTTTGAGGAGCAAATACTTAGTGAAAGAAATTACACAGAATTAACTAATTTAGCCAAGGCTGCAATAAGATACGAAGTAAGCGATGCTGCAGCAGCTGCAATAGCAACAGCTGTATTATTACGGAATATGGAATAGTAAGTAAGAGTAAAAAATCTCAGATAATTACAGAATATAAGGTATTTTGTGAAAAAGCACGAGTGGCTAAATCAATTGACACTAAGCATCTTCAAGAGGTTTTAGAAATAAAGGTAATTGGTGTTGATAGCAAGAAAGACAAAAATTCATTAGTTCAAGTGATGAAATACAAGAGTAATGGGGACTTATTCTTTTATCGAACCACCAATGATGAACATCACCTCACTTTTACTTGTGAAAATGATCCTTACTCTGGAAATTATCTAACACATGTGATAATAGAAAATGGTAAAGGTAGTACTATGGCTTTAGCAACATTAAATATGCTTTCTGAATATGATAGTGTTCAAAGCTTAGAAGCGATTGTTCTTGACAATACAAGTTTTAACACTGGCATAGATAATGGTTAAGTTGCCAAATTAGAAAAGCTTTTGAATCATAGCATTCATTTAGTTGGATGTTTGCTTCACCAGGGTGAAGGCTACCTCTTCGTCATGTTATATCTGAAATAGATGGACAAACTAATGATCCTAAAAAATATAAAGTTCCTATCAGTATACAAGCATCTAACGTATTCACGCATGAACAACCTTTGGTTAAGTTTATTCCTATAGATTCCAAGATAGAGTTTTATGTAAATCCCGACATTGTTTGCAATCTGAGTACAGACCAGCGTAAACTTTATGAGTACTGTATCGGAATAGCTAAAGGTTCCATTTCTGTCAAGTATGCTAATAAAAAACCTGGTCCTATCTGTCATGCACGCTGGCTAACCCTTGCTTTAAGAATTATGATGGTTTATGCAAGAACTGAGATACCTACACATGATCTAAACTGCATCACAAAGTACATAGTTCAAGTCTACTGTCCAATGTGGTTTGCTGTAAAAAGTTCAGCACATTACAAAGATGCACCAAAGCTCCTCCATAAAACAATACAGTTAGTCAAAAAACAGGATGACAGAATTGAAAAGATTGTTTTGAAAAATCTTCAGGGTAACTCCTATTGCTGCTGTCAAGAAAATTTTCTTTACGCTATGCTGCTAGACAATGAAGAAGTTGTAAGAGATCGTGCTCTCAATCAAATCTTGGAGATTAGGTTATCTAGGAAAACAAATCCAGATTTTAAACCTAAAATCAAAGCTAAGACAATTATGACCTTGAACTTCAATGCTGATGTTTGGACCGACTTAATTAAAGTTTCTTCAATACAAATTGAACCTCCAACTTCAATTTATATTTCTTCAAATGAATTACAACAAGCTATTCAAACCGGCAATAAACTTTCTCTAACTGATTTGCCAAACAATTCTCAGTCAGTGGAAAGAGCTGTAAAACTCACATCTGAAGCTTCTAAAAAGGTTTATGGATGGGTGAAGAGACATAACTTCATTCTGGCTAAAAACCAAAATAGAGCCGAAAACAAGAGAAATGTGAAAAAGTCAGAATATTGTATAAAAAGTCAGAATATCTTGTATAATGCAAATATAATATATATTGAATACAATACAAAACTATAATATATAATATATCAATATTATTGATATTGAAAATTTTTCTATGACTCTGATGATTAAGACATATATAAAATTGAGTTCAATGTACTCTTAAATGTAATTAAACTTGGTGTAACTTTCATTATGAGGTCTATATATATATATATATATATATATATATATATATATATATATATATATATATATATATATAATATACATATACATATACATATAATATATATATATATAAATATATATATATATATACATATACATATACATATATATATATATATATATATATATATATATATATATATATATATATATATATACATATACATATATATATATATATATATATATATATATATATATATATATATATATATATATATATATATATATATATATATATATATATATACACATGCACATTATTATTCTATATAATTATTTATATACTATTGTGTATGTTATTAGTTTTATGTTTGTTTAAACGAATCCTTTTTTTTTTTTTTTGACAGATGTTAATTTCTTGCATTTTTTTTTGAGTTTTGTACGCTTTGCAGTTTTATAAAAATAATTTGCTAAGTCATTTTACAAAATTAATTAACAGATGTTTTAAATGTCATATTATTGACATTTAAAACATCTGTTAATTAATTTTGTAAATTTTTTCACTTTAAACTTAAATTTTTTTTCCAATTAAAACAACACTCAGTATGTTTGAGTTTCAATTTGCTATTAGCATAAAGATTAACATGTATTTATAAGATAAACATTTATAGTCTAATTACATATACCTTAAGTTGTGTAGGTATAATTTCTTTATCATCCCACTTAACAAAATAATCAGGTAGAATTGATTTTATAGTTGACAAAGTTTTCGAAGTTTCTTTATGAAGAGCTAGAAGTGTGTCTTTCTGATCAATGGATTTGGTAAATGTTTCAATACAATTTAAGATAATTGATACAAAACTGAAACTGTAATTGGCAAGCTTAATCTTTTCAAAAACCTTTAAGAGCATATTAAACATCGCTTCAACTACATGTGCTCTAAATATAAAACATATTAAACATAACTTTAACTACATGTGCTCTAAATATAAAACACATTAAACATAACTTCAACTACATGTGCTCAAAATATAAAACATATTAAACATTGCTTCAACTACATGTGCTCTGAACATAGCCTCAGCAACATATGCTTCAAATTAAACATATAAAATGACTTTGCATACTATATAACATATAGTATGCAAAACATACTATATGTTATATAGTATGTTTTTTTTTATAGTATGTTTTTTATATAAACATTGGTGACAGAATCAGACTTAATGCTCCAAAAAGAAGAAAAAAAAGAAAGAAAGCTGTTTATAGTATATTTAAAAAAAGTGAAGCTACTTCAAAAGATGATAAGTTTATGCTTTTAACTTGCATTTTTAATTGTAAATTTGCATTTTCAAATATAAATAAATTTTAGGAGTGTACAATTTAAATTTCTTATTGAAACAAATGGACAAATTAATAATCTCGTGTTAACTTAAGAAAATAATATCATCAATATATTTTTATATGGACATACGTAATTACAAATCTCCATTACATAACGGAATAGAAGATTGGTGAAATACTAAAAAAATTATAAAAAAGAAGAATATTTAATACTCATCATCTATAAAAACGCAGACTTTATTTTTTCTGATGAAAATATATATTCCATATTTGCTCCATCAAAAATGTTGCAGAAACAATCTTATTTATCAAACTTCATCATTCTTCCAATACATTACAAAAGATACACAAACACACACAAACACACACAAGCACACACTCTGTATAAAAAAATTTAAAAGTTAAAAATCACATTTTTTTTTTTTTTTTATATTTTTTTTTTTTTTTTTAAATATATAACTAACAAATAAAAACCATTTTGTCAAACATTAAACTTTTATTTTTTATCTATTACTGACAGAGATAATCTATTTAAACTACTTTTCTTTAATCATCTTTCTTTAAATTTAAATTGTTGACTCAAAGACAAAGTTAATTACCCTTCTTTTTCATCATTACTTAAATCATCTTGAGCACATATATATATATATATATATATATATATATATATTATATATATATATATATATATATATATATATATATATATATATATATATATATAAATGCACCATATTAGTATATTTGGAATTTAAAATGATTTAGTTAATAAATTGCAGAGCTGTTATGCAATAACTATTATCTAAACAAAAAAATTATTCTTTTACTAAGAATAATTTTTTATATACTATAAATTTGGTCAAATAAAGATTTGATTTTAATTTTATCATGATTTCTAGCTATTTTATATACCAAAAGCTTATTTAATATATTATATAAATATACTAAATAAGCTTTTGAAAAAAATATATTATAATTAATAATAATTATAAATATCATTGCTTACAATAATTATAAAAATTAAACAATTTAATAATTACTTTTATAGCAATTTATAGTAAAATAATTAACACAAAATACAAAATTTAATTGTTTTAATTTTCATTATTAAAGTAATTAATGAAATTTAAAACAATTTAAATTAGTAACTATTTTTTAATTTTGGTACTGAAAAATTTCAATATTAGTAATTCCGGTACAATATAAAGACTTCAAAATCAGTAATACTGGTACAATATAAAAACTTCAGTATTGCTAATACCAATATAGTACTAGTTTCAACTTTCTTTAAAAAAAAAATTAAATTAGGATAAAAATTAAAAAAAAAAAATAGTTAAAAAATACAGTGATTCAATGAATTTGAAAATGTTGCCAAAATTCTCCTATTTGACACTTGTTGCCTGTACAATAAAATATAATAAAAACTAGATCAATATAATAAAAATTTATAATAAAAACTATATAAACTCAAAAATACATTTAATATTTTTTCTTTATTTTTCTCAAGTGTTAAATGGTTTTAAAAATATGTTTTATTTAATTAAAAGCCACGTCACTTGATATATAGGAAAAAATAAACTTTCATTAATAAAAGTTGAAATTAGTTTCAAAGTAACTTATAAATGCAGCAATAGTATTTTAATCTAAACAAAATAAAATAAATATTTGATTTCTTAAGGGCTAAACAATGCCTGAACAACAAATTTACACATTTTTACAATACAGTAATTAAACTTTTTTTATCAATTAAAACAATATATACTTTATATATAAAAAAGAGTCTAGAATAGCTCCTGCAAGCTACATCAACAACTTTTGGAATTGAGTAATAGTATTAGTTTTACAAAATTTGTCTTTTGTGTATTGATTTGAAGAACAGCAAAATAATTTTAAAAACGGTGTGCACTTTACACCCAATTGGAGACTATAAACACTCAAATGGAGATTTCAACGACCATAAATAACTAAAGTCTCCATATTTTTTATCCTTTTTTATTGATGTATTTAATGCTAAAATAAAGAACTTAAAATTAAATATAAAAAAATCCAGATTAACGTTTCTGAAAAAGCATTAGGTTTTGTATTTTGAATTCACTACAAGTCCGGATTTTAACTCTTTTTTTTTGACATTCGCGAAGCAAAAAAAAAAACTGGCATAAGTGCAAACTGGCATAAGTGCACTGAATAAAATTGCAAATAATGGCATAAGTACAAATTGGTATTTTGCACTTATGCTAATTCGCTCTTATGACAATGTTTGCAAATTTATTTGACGCACTTATGCCAGCTCGCCTTATGCCAATTTGCACTTATGCCAGTTTTTGCAACTGCTTTGCACTTATGCCTGTTTGCAATTACACCATTTGCTACTATGCCAGTACGCACGTATGAAATTTGCGCTTGTTCAGTCGCCCCTAAAGAAGCTCTATCAGTAGTAATGCCCTTAATGTCTTCATTGTAATTCAGCATAAACTGCACCAACACTTTTAAACTCAAGGAAGGCAGTGAACCAACAGTTCTAGCTAATGCAAGACTTCAAAACCTATGATGTAAATGCTTACATTTAAATATCAGCAATTTTTAATTGGTCTACCCGTCAAATATCAAACTCAATGCGAGTTCTTGCATTTAGAGATCAAAGAACTAGAATATGACTGTCTTTCTAATTGTCACTTAGCTACCATACTTCTAACTGTCATTGCCAAATTTGGAACAATTAACCTATGCACTTTTAGAAATTAGTTATTGATTCAGTTAATGCAACAAATACACTTAAGATTAATTTGTCAATCTAGAAAAAAATGGTGGCAATGATTTTTAATGATTTTGGAAGAAAGCTGTGATCAGAGGATTGAGTTTTTAAGCTGATGGCAATGAAGCCCATGCTGCATCTTAAGACAATTTTCACTTTAGGAAGTTGATTTCATAGTTTAAGTTGCCTTATAATCTATTAGGCTATAATAATAATTATTTGTTAAATTTAAAATTAGTGTATAAAAAGACAAAAGTTTTAATTTAAGAATGTTTAAGCACTATTTAAATAATAAAGGGTCAGCAAAAATGAATTTAGACGAGAACAATTTTTAATGGTCAGTTTTTCGTCAATTTATAGGCCTGCATATTAAAATTGCTGTGTATTTCAATTTAGTTATGAAAAATCTATTTATTTTTTTTAATTAAACAAGCACTCCTTTCTAGGCTAAATTGGTAAAAAAAATACCCAAATACATGTATCAACTAAACCCAATATAAGTATCAAAAAAAGGTTTAGTTATAACGATATTAGGGTAACGGTACTACCAGTATAAGATGAACTAAATTATTTTTTAATTTATAATAATTTTATAAATATAAAATTTTTAAAAAATTAAAATTGATTTTAAAAAGCAACCTTTTTTTTTCTTCTTTTGGAATGTTTGTCATCAATCCATTTAAAAAATTTTGAAATTCATTCAGCTAAAATGATAAAAAATTATTTTGTTTTAAGTTGTTTAAAAATTAAATCAAAGAATAACAAAAAGAAAGAATAATAAAATAAATTAAGTCTTTTTCCAGCTTATGTAACTAAGCAACATAAACAAAATTATACTTTTTCTAACAATTCTCCAACAAGGCTGCAAACAACAACCAATCAAAAGCATGCAAGAAAACAGAAGTAACGAAGAAAATGCTTAAGAAAATAGTTCAAATTAAATATCATAAAAAGTTTCCATAAGTAAGACTGAAACAAATATTGATAAGAATTATAAAGATTACAAAAAAAAAGTATTTATAAGTAGAAAAGGTAACTTTATTACAATAAAGTTAATTATAAAAATTATTGCGCTTAAAGTTAATTATAAAAATTATTGCGCTTTAATATTTTGTCTAAAATTAAGAGAGCAAGATATAGAGATAATTTTTTAAAAATGATAGAGATAGTTTTCAAAAATTATAGAGAAACTTTGCTTTGATTTTAAATATATTTGCAAAGCATAATAGATAATTTGCAAAAATATATGAGATAACTTGCAAATATATAAGAGATAATTTGAAACTTCTTTGCAACAAACTTAATGACATTATATCAAAGAGATATTAGTAGAAAATCCCAAAAGAAAGAATATAAAGGTAAAAAGATTTTAACAAAAAGAAGTACAAAAATAATTCAGGAAACGCATGACACGTTTTAGAATATTGAATAATTTATTCAATAAAGCAATGATAACAATATAGAGGTTGGTAAAAATGTTATGAAAGCAAAAATAAAAGAATATGTATTTTTTAATAAAATTAGTTGTTTTTATTTATTTTAATCTCCCTCAACATGAACTAACTTATTCCAATGATCCTACAATAATTTTATACCATCTTTGTAATAATTTTTCGAATACTCTGCAAAACACTTTTTGACTGATTAAGCACAGTTCATATAGTTTTTTTTATTTATTTACTTTTAAATTTACTTTTTTTTTTTTTTTTTTCAGTTTTTATTTGATCACTTTGCTCAATAGCTTCTTCATTCAACTTTAATTCTTATAATACTTGTTTATAATACTTGTTTATAATACTTGTTTATAATACTTGTTTATAATATTTATTTATAATACTTGTTTATAATACTTGTTTATAATACTTGTTTATAATACTTGTTTATAATATTAAGTTTGATATCATAATGATTAAATAATTATAATACAGTTATAGTGCAAAGTCAAAAAGTGTTTTAAAGGAAAACTTAATAAGGAATCTTAAAAAAAAAATTAGACAGTTTTAAAAAAATGCAATTTTAAATAAATGGCCTTAAAAGTGTTTAAACTTTATTGTTTTTATTTTATTTTATAGCAACTTTCTTTATAAACAGTTTTTTTTCCAATCTTCAGACTTATTGTAGTTTTAATATTTAAATATGTTAAAAAATGAAAGTTGAATGTCAAAAATAAAAGTTGAATGTCAAAAAGTTTTTTTCCAGCCAAAACCAAAACCTTCACTCAGTATTATTTAAAATATGATAAAAATTTAGAGCAAATTGATCAAATAAAAACTAAAAACAAAATAAATTATAAAGTAAATTTAAAAGTAAATCAATAAAAAAACTATATGAACTGTGCTTAATCAGTCAAAAAATCAAAAGTGAAAATTAAACTGGTCAAAAAATATCAGTCTTCAAATTATTGTATGCAAAAGATAACTTACAAAACCTTATGCTATGAAAAAAAGATAATCAATATCGTATTTGAACATCCATCATTTCTATTACAAGGAAAAAAAAAAATTTCATTTATTTAGGAAACAAGTTAATCCTGGTAGAAACAGGAATAAGATGAGGTTTTGAATGATGCCTTTTTTTAAAGTAAGCATTCATTTTGTAAACAAAATACCAGAAAAATGAAAATAATACAAAAAATAACAAAGATGAGATCCAACCCCACCAAACATATACCCACCCACACATGCCTACTTTAGTCAATTAATGTTTTAGCATTATTTGATTTTGTATTTACATTCAATATATAACTTTAGGTTATTCTTACCTCTTTTTGATTTGCAGATGAAAGACGGAAGGTTATCATATTAATTAGAAGTCGTTCATTAAAATATCCAGTATTTAATGCATAATGAAAGCATTGTGGTTCCATTAAATAAACAAGGCCTCTTTGCAGTAAACGATCTTTTTTCAAGCTGATTTGGATTTTATTCAAATTATTAAAAGTTTCTCTGAACAAAAAGAAAAAGAATAAGCAACTAAACTGAACAAAAATAAGTAAGATATATATATATATATATATATATATATATATATATATATATATATATATATATATATGTGTGTGTGTGTGTGTGCGTGTGTGTGTATATATATATATATATACACACATATATATATATATGTGTGTGTGTGTGTGTGTGTGTGTGTGTGTGTGTGTGTGTGTGCGTATATATATATATATACACACACATATATATATATATACATATATATATATATATATATATATATATATATATATATATATATATATATATATATATATATATATATATATATATATATATATATATATATATATATATATATATATATATTAGGGTGGGTCATAAAAGTTTTTTTCTTGTTACAGGCTCTAAACATTGCTAATAGTTATTAATATTGATACTATTAAATATGAGAATGATTGTGATAGATTTAAAGGGCCCAACTTGATTGGGAAAATTACCAGTACCCTAATATTTTGGAGAAAAAAAGCTTTTCAAAAGTAGGTCAACCTGATACTCAAAAGAAGCGAAATTTTATAAAAAATTTGAAAATAATAATCATTTTATAAAAATCATATTGCCGAAAAAAATTATTATTAAAAAACATGTAGAAATGCACCTTTTTCACTTTTAGTTAAAAAACTATAGTTATTATGCAATAAAATCTAAAATAATAATTTTTATATGAAAAAATTATTATTTTTGAAATTTTTAAAAACATTTTTTTTGAATAATAATAGGGCAATTTTTTTTTTAATAATAATAAGGAATAATATATATATATATATATATATATATATATATATATATATATATATATATATATATATATATATCAGGGCGTATTGTGATTGCTTTTCGCACCTTCACGATTAGTTTTTTCTGAATAATAATTTTTCCACTGTTTATAATTTTTTGGCCGTTCTTAAAAGTAATGTTTTTGTCTAAGTTTTTTTATTAGGGGTCATAAAGTATGTCACACTAAATATGTCTTTTGAATATAAGTATGATCGTTTGCTCTCTCGCGCTGAGAATTTCATTCAACGTAAAGCATTTTTGAATTGAAATTAATTTAAACCTCTGCATAGAAACCAAAAATATTTTGAAGTTATACTTAGTTTGATTTACTGAATGGATCAAGAACATCACAGTACATGAATGGATCAAAAACATCACAGTAAATTTACCTATAAATTAAATCATAACAACCAGTTAAGTAGCCTACAGTTACTCAACAATCAAATTTACTTAGCATACTCAAAGATTCCAAAACAAAAGTTAGCCATACAAATATTTCGATTTGTATCTTAAATGTTGTTAACACATAGTATATAACACGTAATATAAGCTTCTAACTAAAAATTATTTTAACAAGAAATCTTGAATAAAATATAAAAAACACAATAACATTTTTTTTAATTTTCATTTTATTTAAAGCAATGTCAAGATTAAACATTTTCTATAAATAGGCAAGTTGTTTTTAGGACTTCTTTTTAAAAAAGAAATCTGTTTGAATAAAAGAATTTTAGTCTTTTAAAATTCTCTCATTTAAATAATTTTGTGATTGAAACTTAAAATTAAAAAAAAAAAATTGGAAAAATTTAAAAGAATTTTAATGTTCAAAAATTATAAACTTAATTGCAGCAGCATCCGTAATACCTAGCGGCATAGCAAGGATCATTCCTAAAAATTAAACATATATCTAGCTATAGCAACAATATCAGATTTAGAACATAGTGCAAGTGAGGAATTAAATTTTATTTGTGTAAACATTTTAAACAGTTATTTTTTTTTTGTTTCTAAAAAAAAGTTTTTAAAATAGAAACATTCTATTGTAAAAATTAAACTGTTGATTATTCCAAACATTAAACCAAAAATTAGTAGGTTTATTATACTTAAATTTTTAATAGTAATAGATCAAGAATAAGTTATGAAAAAACGTGGTACCTAATGTTTTATTGCTTTGATCTTACTTGCTTGGTGCATAAATATAGCACATTTTTGCGCAAAGATGAAGTTTAAAGTTTTATGACAATAATGTTTTAATTTATCAACTAAATAATTTCATCTATTTAATTTGTTGTATTTTGTATCTATTTATATTATTATTATTTCATGTCATGAATGTTATAAAAACTCAACTTTATAAAGCAGCATTATGAACAGTGTCACAAAGTAGTTTTATATTAACACAAGCTCTTTATGTTGTCAAAAACAAACTCTTCAGTTTGTTTTATATATAGTTTTTTACAATAACAATTTAATACTGTTTAAAAATAACACATTTTATCGTCAGCATGAATGTATCAAATAGTTTTCTATAACTAAATAATGGGGTTTAAATATTGTACCATTTACATTTTTACTTTTACTTTTTTAAGTATCATGTTAACTAAAATCAATTACTAAAAGTAATATTTAATAGTAAATTACAATATTATTGACTCATAAATTAATACGTTATAAAAATTAAATACGTTATTGGCTCATTACATTATAACTTGTTCATTGCACTATAACAGCAACTTAAACTTTAACAGCAACAGTAACTTACACTATTTCAAAATCTGCTAAACAAGAAAATTATAAAAGAATATTGAAAAATGAAAGATGTTATGTTTAAAAAATAACAATTACAAAATAATGTAGAAAAAATACAATTTTATGCTAACGCACCCACCCCTCCTTACCGCTAAGCAGTGTCAGGAATGAAGGGGAGAGGGGTATGGTGGTAAAAAAAATTTTTTTTGCAAGTAGATTTTTTTACACTAACTTAAGCCCTATATATATATACATACACACACATCACGCATATATATATATATATATTTCATATATATATATATATATATATATATATATATATTTCATTTTTTTCCCCCATCAATATTAGTATTAAGATTGTCTTTATTTTGATATTCAGGCAATAATGAATTAACTAGATTGTTTTTAATAAATAGATTGCTTGCAATAATGAATAAATTTGATTGCTTTTTAATTTTCTTTATAGATTAAATTTTAATTTTCTTGATATTTTGATTTTTTAAACTTAATTCAATTTTTTAAAAATGTTTTCTAATAAAAAAATTGTAGAAAACTTGTTAGTGAAAAACTGTTTGTGTGTTTTTTTAATTAAAATTTGTGCTGTTAACAAAATGTTTGTGTGGTGATAAAACTATGTACTGTTAACAAAATGTTATTCAAAAAAACATACAAAATCAATTTCCTTTTTTGCATTTTTATAAAATATGCGGGTAGTCCACAATTAGATTTGTCAAAATCTTGCAACTTCAAGTAATTCTTGTTTTCTTCTGAAAGAATATGTACCATAACAACTGCATAACACCAAACATGAACCATATCATTGTTGATAAAATCTGATTTTGAAAACCAATATTCTAGCAAAGATTCAAGTGATTTCTTTATCATACTAAAAAAAAAATTATATAAATAAACTAATAATCAATTTTTACTTACTAATACAGTTAAACACTCATTGTACAAAATTGTTAAAATTATGTTTAGAAAATCTCTGTATGTTAAGCATATTCTTGTTAAAACTATTAAAAGAGTGCAAAATATTTTACTTAATATTTCATTTAATTCACAATCATTTAAAACTATAATTAGCAATAGATAGCAATGTTTAGAAATTTTTTGTATCCTTGTTTAGTACTTTAGTGTATTTTTTTTTGTTTTTGTATTTGCTGTTTGTAAAAGTTTCAGTTTAATTTTAAAACTTCAAATGACATCAAATGGAGAAAAAATTTGATTATAAACTATAATCATAAAAACATAGAAACATTTTTTTATGTTCAAACCATCAATGATACATGATAGGTAACACTCTAACATTTTATATGTAATATTTATTTTTGTACAATATATAACACTGTATAATACATAACAATATATATTCATAAAACTATATTTTTAAATTTTATTTAATTTTTGAAATATATTATTTGATTAAAATTCAAAGAGAAAAATTATGAAATCAAAATGGAAATAATCATAATTTTTAATAAGTACTTATTAAGCGTTTTTAATGGTTTCTTATCAGAAACTATTAAACAATTAGCAATTAATGTTAATGAAAAGAGTCTTCCTATTTTAAATGCGTTGTTGTCGATTTAGTTTGTTACTTAGAAAGACTAGACTAAACCTTTTTATTGTTTGATGTGGTAGTGGTGTAGTGATAGAATGCTTGTTTTGTAGGCAAAAATTACAAAGTTTGCATTCCCCCTGGTAACACCAGACTCAAGCTGTTTCTCCATGTTTGTTAAAATTTATGTTTTGAAGTTAAAGAGTTATGGAAGTGGGTTTAAGTAATAGTAATAAATTATTACCCCTTTAACTGTTTTGATAAGGTGAAAACAGTAGAAAACAGTAAAATAAAATAAAAAATTAACTACTTTTATCATAAAAGCAGTAACAAACCTCAAATACTTGGGTGAAAAAAATTCTTTCAACATTGTTGATAAAGAATCACAATCATAATTTTTGTTTTCTAATGATAAATTATTGAATGCAGAGCAGAGAAAATTCATATTGATTTGCTTTATCAAATGATCATTTTTGTAAAAAATTACCAGCAAAGATAAGTTGGAACTTATAGTTTCAATATCATTATATGAATCTTTTTTCACTTGTCCTTCCAAATAAACTAATAATTCCTAAAAAAAATTTATACAGCTATAAAATATCAATATATATGCTTGTATACACACATACAATACATACATACATATATATATATATATATATATATATATATATATATATATATATATATATATATATATATATATATATAATATATATATATATCAGGCTTTCCCAGGAAAGGCGTGCGACCGCACGCCTTGTTTGTCCACGCATAGAATAAATTTTTCAGAAAACGTGACCGCGGCAATATTTCGTGGGAAAGTGAAACTTATCCACAATGAATAAAAAATTATATTAAAAAAAGGAAACGAAGTCTAAACAAAGTATAAAATTGAAATTGAATATAAGAAAAATATTTTAATAATAAAAAAAAAACTCAAAAAAAGAAAAATTCTTGTAACAAAAAAAAAAAAAGTCTTGAACATTTTTTTCAAAAATTTTATACTGTTTTTTTATTTTTTTATTTAGGGTTGCTATTTTCAGCTACGAAATTTGATACAAGTCAAGGAAAAGACGACTATAAGTCATTAAGTTTTCATGAAAATAAAAAGACTTGATACGTAATTTATTCACGAACTTTATCAGACAACGTATTAAAAAACTGATTCATTATTTACGCTAGACAAATTTAGTTAAATTTTTTCATTTAATTTAGTTTTTACAAAGGTTTATGCAAAGGCGATGACGTTATTCCCCAATACTTAGACAAGAAAATAAATTGCTGTTTTAATTATTAAATATATTATTTGAGATTTTAAACATAACAAAATTTTAATGTGAAAAAAGTTCTCTCGACTTATTCTAAACTGATTATACTGAGTCAATGCTCGCCTTTTATTACGTTGAAATTATTCAATTGCATAATTTTGTAATTACGAAAGAAGTTAAAAAACAACAGAATTGCTTCTGTTGTCATTGTTACGAAAACAGTTTCTTCGGGACATTATTATATATTAACACTTGTTAACAATGTCAATTAATGATTGCAAAATAAAATAAACTCAATTGTTTGACAATAAAATTTTCTTTCATTTGAAAATAAAAAAAAACATATTTTACAAATAAATAGCAATTGTTTTCGCGCTTTCTTGCGTATCAATACATTTAAACATTTAAATGTATTTACGAAACATTTAAAAATTGTTTATAGTTCTATCATGAATTTTAAAGTATTACTGACTGATAAAAGTCATAAACGAACTTTACATTAAAACTTTTATTTTCATTAAACTATAACCTTTTTTTTTATGATTTTATTTTTCTTATTGATTTGATTTGTCATAGCTAAAATAACTACCACCCTAAAAAAAATATATATATAAATAAATAAAATATAGGTAAATTTTTTTTTAATAATATACATTAATTTTTTAATTTCAAAGCACAAACAGATTTCTGTTATTTACTTTAAGATTACTTGCATTTTTGCGGTATTTTCGTTTAGCTTTGTTTTGGCGCGAAATATATATATATATATATATATATATATATATATATATATATATATATATATATATATATATATATATATATATATATATATATATATGTATATATATTCATACATACAGGGCTCAATTTAATGATCGGACATTGGACATTAACCGGCTAAAACCTCAGATTGTCCGCTCAATTTACAAAGTAATCGGACATTTAGACTGACTGGAATTAAATTCTACAAAAAAAAGTGATGAAAACACATACTAAACTCTTTTTTATAACTATTTAAAAATACTTTAAAGCAAAAAAAACATAAAAAAAAAACATTATATAAAATTGTTTTTAAAACGGTTTTAAAGTATGAAATTAAAGTATAAAATTTTTTGTATAAAAGTATTTTGATAAATTGGATTGTATAAAAGTATTTTGAGACTTATTTACAGTCCTGTTATATAACGTTCAAAATCGTATCGAATATCCATAATTAAGAACTTTGATAATGCTATAGTGCTTTTTTTTTAACATAATATACATGGTTTTTAATAACCATTTACACATTTTTTCTTACATCATTGATTGTGTTGTTTTATTAGTTGTAACATTAGATTTTTCGTTACGACTGTCACCGTTATGACTGACACACCAAAAAAAACATTAAAATGCTAATAAAACTTTAGGTAAAAACTATGAAACTTAGCATTTAATAACATCAATATATGCTAATTACACATACCTATGATTTTTTTTTTACCTTGCTGTTTGCTGCATCAAGTCTGACAAAGTTGTTTTGTTCAGAATTGGTAAAAAGTAAGCGTTACGACTGTCACGCTCGTAGAGTTAATTTTTCAAAAAAAGTTTAGGACTTTAATGCTGTAACTTTTACATTCTAAATTATATGATAGTATTTCACATTTCTGGAAAGTTTCAAGTTATTAGCTGAAGTTAACAGTATATATATTATAAAATTAACTTAACTTTTATTGGATAATTAGAAATTAAGAAATTTTATTCATTTTCTATTTTAGTTATAATATATTTCCTTAAGTCTTGCTTAGGTGCTAAGAAAGCGTCAAAAAAGTAGGTAAACAACTTAAGACCACTATGTTTAAAAGAATTCAGGGAACTGCTGGTTTCAGCTGCTGCATATGGATTACAAACAAAAAACTTGGTTAATATCGAATTTATTCCAGAATTTTGGCACATTCTTGACTACTATCACTATCTAGTTGATGCACGCCCTGAATTATTAGTAAAAGCTGTTATGCAAATAATAGCGAAAAATTTGGAGTAGCTTTGGAATATGAAATTTAACTTGCCACCTGTATCCAGAGCTGGCATCACCAAGAAATTGAATAAACTTGTGGATTCTTATAAAATATATTTGAAGAGAAACTCTACAATGGATTTTCTTATGGGACTTGATACGCTCAACAAAAATATCAAAATGAAGACAGAAGAATAGACACAACTTTCTATTAGCCATTTGATGATCATGATTTTTATGATCATCAAATAGCTAATAGAAAGAACTATGTATCAACCAGCCAAACAGTTGTTGAGCAAACAACTAACAGGCAGTTAATAGCAAAAAACTTGGATCTTGATTATGTAAAGCAATTATATCCAAGGTCAAGCTCTCAAATGACTATAAGAATTTTAAAATTACAAATTTGACAATGGCTGACAATTGTCATTGATTGTTGGAACCACTTAGAAGAAATCATAAAAAGTGAGTAATAATACATCTTAAAATAAAAATTAAAAGTTTTCTTTGAAAATATTTATTTTATTTTCATATCATGTGCGCAGAAGCTGGTATCTCTACCCACAAAGGAGCTATGACATTGCTCTTTGGAACATATGGTCATTGCACTTCAATTGGATAGAATAATGTTTTGGTATATTCGTCTCAAAACATTACATACTAAATGGACCTCTAAAAATCTAGCAGCTATGATAAAGGAAACATTGTTAGAGTATGATACTGCTCATAAAATATTTCTTATAATTTGTGATATCGGCTGTATCAATACAGGTTAGTCAAATTTATATATATTTTTTAAATGCATATGATTTAATAAATAACTACATTTTATTTCAGATGAATCTTATTCTAGTGGAATAATAAGAATTTTAAGACCTGAGCTATTTAACAGACCTATTTTTTATTATGGGTGTAATGCACTCATATTTGACCTTGCTTTTAAAAAATGCTAATTTTCCATTTGCAAAAACACCAACAAAATTGCCTGTTATAACTGATTTTAAGTTTATAAAGAAACTAAAAAAAAAGTATCCACAATCAAAAGAATCATACAATGTTCTGCATATAATGTCTCATCCTCCTTCAACAGTAAAGACATGAAAAAAGGTTCAATCCTTAAAATTATTCTGTTGTCAAACAACATTTTATATTTTAAATTTTAAGTTTATATTTTAAATTAAATCGCCTTAAAAAAAACAAAAATATAGAACTTTAAAGTCTTATCTCCAAAATTTTCATGTCTGATCTCCAAAATTTTTAGGTCTTATTTCCAAAACTTTTCTCAAAAAAGTAACTCTATTTTTTGGCCTGATAAAATTTTAAAATGTTTAATTATTTTTTATTAGGTGGTGTTTAAAATACAATTATTTATGATTTAGAAAAGGTTTCACATATTATTTCAAAAAAAAGTTATTGCACCATCCCCCTGCTGTAGGGGCCACTATAGTCAAGGAGACTACTTTTTTTTTTTTTTGAATTGCTTTATTTTTTATTACGTATTTATACAATTTAGAGGTAAATTAGGGTCAATTAAGGGTCAAATAAAATCATTTACATCTTATTGATGTCCTGTAATCAGTTAAATATATTCCAAATATAGTCAACAAACAAAATCAGTTGATTATACTTAATCAGTTACAAAAAGACCATAATTTTATGTAGATTTACATCAAAGAAATATATTTTTGAATTTACTTCTTGTTCCATAGTAAAAAAAAAAATAGAATTGTGTCTACTATTTATATATCTAAGAAAAAGATGTGGGTCATTTTCTGATTCGAGAGTAGCACAAAAGATGTTTACATCATCAACGTATCATTTATAGAAAACTAATTTTACACCATTAAAATTTAAAAATCCACAATATTGCCTGTAAATCATTTTGCATCATAAACACATGCTACATTATTTTCTGGTAAATGAAAAGCAAATTAAATGATATAATGCATTGTTGAAACATTTAAATTAACATAGACATTGTCAAATAAAAGCCATGTTATCTGTAAGGAAGTTAATGATTGTGATATAAACCAGTGGTGGTTTCTTGTTCCTAGAATTATTGAACAAGTAACACAACGCTCTTCTAATTTACAACTAATGCAATACAATACAATTGATTTATATAATATAAGTTAGATATAAGTCTTTACAAATTTGTTAATCTGAATTTGCACCATCGATGAAATAAATGTAATGGTTGAAGTCTAGCTTTTTTAATAAATGTAAAGGTTTTGTATTCTAGTGTTGTTCACAAACGCATATGAGTGGAGACCTAAAGCACTTCAAACAAAAATACATCACTTT